AGAGCGAAGATCAATGGTTTATGGTCCGTCAAAACTGAGAAATATCGACCCTCTAAAAGATGTCGAAAATGGCGTATTGCCAGATATATAGCTAATAATTCTCGCCCAAACTTGCTGTAACGGCTTTGTGCGGGCTGCAGACGTTTTGAAAAGAATGCACTCACTGAAAGTTTCGGTCGGCGCCGACGCAGCCGCTCGTGTCGCGTGACAGTTCAGATTGCGCGGTTTCGTCCGTTTAAAAGCTCGGCAAGTTGTGCGGGCTGCAGACGTTTTGAAAAGAAGGACTGCACTGAAAGTTTCGGTCGGCGCCGACGCAGCCGCTCGTGTCGCGTGACAGTTCAGATTGCGCGGTTTCGTCCGTTTAAAACAACGCTCGGCAAGGACTATCTGGCAGGCGCGATACACGGGTAATACAAAATAATCATCCTCTCTGGCGTCAGGTCGGTAAAGTTGGTGGAGCTTTCGCCTGCCGTTTGGAGGATCCGAGTTCGATACCCGGTCGGCCCACTTTTCCATCGCATTGGGCGCTCGAAAGTAGGTGCAGTCGAGACAAACTTGCAGGCAATGACAGACGGGCGACAAAATATTGACATCAATTACTGAGGCGGAAGCGCGAGGTAAGAAAACGAAACGGTGTCATAATAAACAGGGGTAACTCATGTTACTCATGAGTAGTCAGAAAACAAGGAAAGTTACCCTTGTTCACCGTTGATTCACAGGGGGAATCAACACCGTGGTGGTTTTGCTATCGCCGATACCCGATGGACCCAGCCAGTGATGCATAAGGTTGCTTACTGGTCCCGTGCGCATCTGGTACACTCGTACCCATTACAATAGACACCCTTCGGGATTTCTGCGCTGGCGGAAACGAAGAGAGACTAAGGGTAGACTATTCGCGATGTCTGGATCACTGAGCAGCTGTGACTTCAGTGAGTTCCTTTGGACTTGATATGCACGATCGGAGACATCTCTCACCTCATTCGGCTCCTGAGGGTGGACCACCGTATGATGTCTTGAAATGGTCCAATTTGAGTACTGTAGACTTACACTGGAAAGTCCATTTGAGTGACGCGCAAAATAACAAGCCAGAAATTGTGGATTCTTGTGATTTACCAAAAGATGCGGTACTACATGTATAAAATACGTAATAAAAGGAGTAGGGGTAAACAGCAGGCTCAGACAGGGGAAGCGTTCGACCGAGGAAAAGAAAGTACAGTTCTACTGAGTCTCAGGAATAAGCGGTGAACCTGAAGAATGAATACACTTTGTTCAACGAGTGCTACCGCGAGTTCGTACCTAATTTCCAGAAGTAGTCCAAACACCTTTGTAGCGAAACAGTTCTCTAGTTATTGAACGTATTGTATAGATGATGTACCATTTATCTGCACCATTGACCACCATTGTTTTTTCTGTTTCAACCTCCCATTCATGCTGCTACTCGCCCCATCGCTTCTCTCTTCCCGGTGTTGGTAGAAACCTCCTCAAAGCTATTCCAGGTTTGAAGAAGGTGGTAAGTTCCGTGTATGGTTTGGTCCTGTACACCTACTTATACATCTGTCCTACTATTGTAGGTGTGATATTTCACGCTGTCACAACCAGGGCAATAAATGGCCGTGGAATATGGATTGTTCACTAGTCCATTTGCTTGTCTGATTTTTGTTCGTAAAATAGAATGCAAGAAATTGGGATGTTGGTTAGGACTTGCACAAACCAAACACTAACCCGCACCAACACCTGTCGGCAAATATAGACAATGAAACGGTGAGCAAAACGTTCAGCAGTAAGGCATGTGACGTTGCTTGCTGATCGGCGGCACGTCGTAACTCTGATCAGTTAGCTTGTGGGATTACTCTTCCATCCGTCTCACAAGTCTCATGGACTTCCCGCACTCACAGAGCTCGACAACGTGAGCGGACGTGAGCTGCATTGCTGACTTGTTAATCCCAGTGCAGCCCATACACCCGTTGCTAAATCGTAGGGTGTTCACAATTCGATCCAACCGGTTACGGGTCTGAATTCCCCCGGAAATCAGTGATTTTCGAATAGGAGAACTGTGCTCTTCAGCATGTATCGACTTCAATTGATACCTGCAACTCTCCCACATTTCCTAGTCCAACTACATATGCACACTTTTTCAAAGTGTGCATTCAGTTGAGCAACCACATCCGTACGGTGGTCTAAGTGAGAAAGTAACAAAAACAAGGCGTTTGTCTTTTTCATCCAGGTGGGAGTGCAGCAAATCAAGATTTGTAGGAAGTCCCAATTGAACTTCATCGAAATATTTCTACTCACCTTGCCTCGCTGAAGAGCTGCTGAACTTCGTCATGTTTACGACATATAATTTGACATCCAAAGACGTGTTTATTATTAGTTCAAATCAACAATCCCAACTGGGCTCCGTGTTGAACATGAGCGCTCATTTGGAGTTCCATTTCCCCTGGATATTCAGAGCGTAGCTCTCGACTTACCGTCTATCTTGGTGTCCTCAAATTCAGGGAGCAATTATTTAGATACTTCTGTGCTTCCCCAATGCTGGCAGTTCATCAGTACCTGAAAACTGCTCGCTAATGTGTCCCGACCGATATTTCAACCAGATATTAGTGTAACGGTGATACTACTGATCGGGAGGCACGCGAGTAGTATGTGTTGTTCGTAGAATTTCGCTTTGAGTCGATTGAAAAATGGAATTCTGTTGCGGAATTCGTGGGGGCACTTTGTAACATTTGCTTTTATTTGACCGACGAATGATTGGAGGCAATGAATCTCCAGGAAGACTCGTTCGGGATAAGATCTTTGTCCAGTTTTTGTAACTAAGATGCAGATTAGAGTTTTGCTTCCTTGTTCAATGGTCTGTAACCGGTCAGTTGACATTTCCGAATAGATAACTCCGCAGCGAAGGCCTTCCTTTCATTAGTATGTTAGGCTGTGCAGTGTGGTTGAGTGAGACGATTATATATATATATATATATATATACGTCGAACAATTTTTAGTCCGATCACTGTTCCGCGTCAGAAATCGAAGATGCTTTATTTGCCTTGTGTCAGTGGTTTCAAATCAGATTTAGTCAGCTCTCCTAGACAAAAAACCAATAATCTATCAAATCGGGTAAACAGCTAGACACCCGTTTTCGTTCTTCGTTTTGCCGCTTCGAGGGTACGCTTATCGAGACTTGTTTAGCAGTGATCACGCGGAGCGTTTCGTGGGAAACACGAAGTGGTTGGCTAGCTGGTTTCTCGTTGATTGTGCTGGCCATTGAACACTGCCTGATATTGTCAAGTCCGTAAACCATAACTACAAGGTGCATCTAACTTGGTACGAATATGGGAGTGCAAATTACTGCGTGCATTTTTAGTGGATGGCGTAAGTCGTTCCGACCTCGTTCGCACAATCACATGCCCGTGTGCCCAATGTGACCTTAAATTACCGGATATCCCAGGTCAGTCGTTACGTTTTCAGTCACCTCTCCGGCCTCCTATGCCGCTTCGACTAAATAAATTGAAATCCGACGGTTAGCCCACCATGTGTCCTTATGGCTTACTATAGAAGTTGTCTTAAATTTTCTCTTCTATCTTTGGAGTGAAGTTTGTTGTTTTGGAATCTGTTCATCTTTTGTCCCGTTCCACTCTTACCCACTCTAGAATGGTGAGGAACTGCAGTCAGTCCGCTTTGCGATAGAACATGCTAGTTCGCCCAGCACTACGGATGCTGCTCGTATCCCGTTACCGCCATCAACTCTCGGCTATTTTCCCAACGATGAAGTCCGGATACCTTTGCTTACTTTTCTCAAAGAGTGAGTCCCTTAACTGATTCTGACTTTTCCGCACTTTCACACAGACCATACAGCCATAGAATAATCCCTCAGCACATCTTTGGGATCTAACAAATTCTGCGCAGAGATGTCCCTCTGAAAGGGACTCGATCTACTGACATTGATCTAATTTAAAACGCTATTTCCGATCAGATCACTGTTCCGCGTCAGAAATCGAAGATGCTTTATTTGCCTTGTGTCAGTGGTTTCAAATCAGATTTAGTCAGCTCTCCTAGACAAAAAACCAATAATCTATCAAATCGGGTAAACAGCTAGACACCCGTTTTCGTTCTTCGTTTTGCCGCTTCGAGGGTACGCTTATCGAGACTTGTTTAGCAGTGATCACGCGGAGCGTTTCGTGGGAAACACGAAGTGGTTGGCTAGCTGGTTTCTCGTTGATTGTGCTGGCCATTGAACACTGCCTGATATTGTCAAGTCCGTAAACCATAACTACAAGGTGCATCTAACTTGGTACGAATATGGGAGTGCAAATTACTGCGTGCATTTTTAGTGGATGGCGTAAGTCGTTCCGACCTCGTTCGCACAATCACATGCCCGTGTGCCCAATGTGACCTTAAATTACCGGATATCCCAGGTCAGTCGTTACGTTTTCAGTCACCTCTCCGGCCTCCTATGCCGCTTCGACTAAATAAATTGAAATCCGACGGTTAGCCCACCATGTGTCCTTATGGCTTACTATAGAAGTTGTCTTAAATTTTCTCTTCTATCTTTGGAGTGAAGTTTGTTGTTTTGGAATCTGTTCATCTTTTGTCCCGTTCCACTCTTACCCACTCTAGAATGGTGAGGAACTGCAGTCAGTCCGCTTTGCGATAGAACATGCTAGTTCGCCCAGCACTACGGATGCTGCTCGTATCCCGTTACCGCCATCAACTCTCGGCTATTTTCCCAACGATGAAGTCCGGATACCTTTGCTTACTTTTCTCAAAGAGTGAGTCCCTTAACTGATTCTGACTTTTCCGCACTTTCACACAGACCATACAGCCATAGAATAATCCCTCAGCACATCTTTGGGATCTAACAAATTCTGCGCAGAGATGTCCCTCTGAAAGGGACTCGATCTACTGACATTGATCTAATTTAAAACGCTATTTCCGATCAGTGCCGAGTTTTCCACTTCCTTCTTCGGTCATTTTTGAAACTAGTCAATTTTGTGTAAGCCGCGCCATTCTCCGATTTCGATGAGTGCCAGCATTCAGAGGGGTTGTTGTTATACTGTTGTGTTCCTGGTTTCTGTTGGCCAAATTTTCTTTGGATCGACTGTTACTTTCATCATATGCATTAAGGTCACTTACGAGCTTACTTGGTCGATCTATACCAACTAGGGTGACATGGTAACAGCCCAGTTCCCGATCTGATGCATAGGCTAGCGTTTTCATCAGAACTGCCACCAAAAGTACAGTGCGTTAGGCGGAATTGCGCACAGATACCACTCAGAGTTTTGCCCTGCTACGGTCAAGGAACTTATTCCGCACGCGATTGGCCAGAAGATAGGACCGGTTGCCTTCCAGCATCAAGGCGAACTCTGATTGGCCGAAAGTCTACCCAATAACCCGTCGTGAACCAGGATCCGCCGATTGCTGGTTGCCACGCCGCATTCAGAAGGCTTCAGGATTTCTAGAATGGTGTCGCTGAGTCCTTGATACGACGTTGTGTTTTTGACCTGGTTTTCGGCGTTGATACACGTGCACCTTTGATGGTTGTTTTTGACGAAAACATTAGCTTGAAATATTCAGACCAAGAATCGTTACTTCACAGTGAGGATAATAAATACTCAAATCAAATCGAAAACTGTGTACAGCCTTTCGTGGTTAGGGTGTATACACTCGATAATATTGTTTGAATCCAAACACGGGCCACCGACGTACAGCATGGATGGAATAATGTTAGTTGTTGGGTCCATACTTTTTGCCAGTGGGAACTCGACCTGATGCCTTACTAGCCAGCAGTCTGATCCCTTGACTTATCACGTGAGGATTAGGCTTGTTGGACATGGCTGCGCTTAACGCTAGGTGGTGGAGTTTTTTGACATATGACTGCGCCTCGCACATGGTTATTCAACGAGCGTACCTGGAAGTTTCACGGAAAGGCAAAAAGTTTCCCCCTTGCCGTTGTATGTACATTGTTTATGGACAAGTACCGTAATCAGGTGCACTGAAACCGCATATCACCGTTTGCAGACTGTTGGCAACTGCTCGGATAACACCGCATATGGGGCTCACCGAGATACAACGGTTCAGAGTTGTTTTGTCTGGAAGTGACCTGGGAGGACGAAACCAACCTCTCAGCGCAGCTAGACTAAATAATGCTGGTAACTATCAGTAGGTGCGCAGCTCTCTGTTTTTTTATTCTGGGGCCTTGCTTTCTTTCAGTGGTGATTGCGGAGATAAGGGTTTCGCCTATCTGCCTAATTGCACGATAAGATTATTGTGATCTACTATATCTATGCTGACCATGTATAGAAAGTATAGATGGTGAAACCGCTGCTTAGTATGAGTATCAGTTTACACGAGTAGTTTGTTGGATGAGCAATCTCTCGTATGTTGTATCCTCTGTAATACGAATTAAGTTTGTTAGAAACTCAAAGTCGACGGGAGTCATCCCGTTGTGTGGGTTTTCCCTCCACCTTGGATTTATAGCTGGGATTCCAATGTTTTATTTACCCTTCAGATATTTCACGCGGTACGACACAAAACCGCGTGGGGAAAACCTGCTCCCCTACTACACTTCAGCATCACAGTTGGTACTGTCAGTTGGGACGGACCGCACCTTGTTCAGGGGATCCAATGTCCCTTCGTGCCGAATAATTACGCCATCTGAGGATGGGACGCGACATAAGACCGTGCTAACAACCTGTCGTCTCGACACGGAGTACGTGACAAGAAGTCGCAATTTGATGCACTGCCATAACGAAGCTCGTCGGAGAGAGCTGGTTGCCCGTGGTTCTTTGGCTTGTGCGGCCCTCTTGACGGAGCTCCCACCTACGGAGCATCCTTTGGAATCCTTTACCGTAGACGTTGCCTTTCATTCAGTGAGTCAGCTCTCACCAATATCTATTATATTTCAAATTTTATACAGCTGACTCTGTTTACTGGTGTCGTCGTTGCGCAACTCCTGTTAGTTTTTTTGCTTGCTGTCCCGCCTACAATGGTACATCAAAATTCACGGTTGATAAAACAAGTCTGTAATCAGGTAGAGTGAGGTATTCCCACAATAGGTCACTTTAGAGTCTACTTGACCGAACAGGAAGCGTCGAGCCGAAGGGCTTTGGCCCTGATTGGTCCATATTCAGACCAATCAGGACGTGCTTGTGGCAGCCGATTGACTCTATACAATGGTGCCACGGTTTAGTTCACTGTTGACCTGGGTAGATGGGGATGGATGGCTGTGCTTCAGAGACGGTAGCTCATATAATTAACGCGTGGATTCAGTAGTATTGATGGAACTTTCGTTGGGGAAATTCTGAGGGAAAAGTATAAATTGAAGGCGACAGCTTGGATATATGTGCGCCACTATACCCGCGTGAGCTGTCAGCCACCTAGCGCAAATCAGCAGTGGACGCCATTGCATCATGCGGCTATCTGCCATCGATTGAGAGCCATTCCTTATGGGGCACACAACTTGCTTCCGATCACGCCATAGAGCGAGTACGTCTGGCAATTCGCTTTCGGTCAGGCCCTAAAAAGTTCGTAAAAAGCATGTCAATCCACAATATCCCAGCAGTATTGGTCTGATCAGCTCAAGTACTCTCTGCAGTTAGCCAACACTGTACTGGTAATGAGCACGTGGACAAAGCATGGCAAAATGTGAGAGGATCTACGTTAGCGAAGTTCATAGCCAATTCTATTGAATTTATGAATAATTTCAACTTGAGTACTCTGAAAACATTATGTCCCCTGTTGAAATGATGTCAGATGCTATTCAGGCAATATTTATTCAAGCCGTAAGTGTTTTTAAGCTGCGCTTCATATGCTTGAAGCTCACGAATTCAACCAATGACGTACCAAGTTCAGCACGTTCCAGACCGCGATTAGTACCCAATCCTGTGCTCGTGGCCTTCGTACGAACAAAACTATTGTTTATTTGAGTCAAATGAAAGACGGCACCCGAATCCTCGTTATTCAATAACCAAACTGTTATCGTTCAGCTGTAGCATTCTTTCGGTGCCTAACTGCCATGCCACCCGAAGGTTGCACGAGGGCTAGGATACTGTCAGGTTACCCAAGCCTAGACAGGGGAGTCGAGAGACAGAGGTCGGGTTCGAACCACAGACTTTCCGGTCACTAAATTCGCGCCCTAACCACTTGTGCCATCTCGTCCCCCGTTATTCAATAAACAAATTATTCATTCCAATAGGAATGCCGTAATAAGCAGAAACGTAAACAGCTCGATGGAAAATGTTTCTGAAAAAATTTCCTTGCCGGTACTTTCAGATACGGTTCTAGGAAAACCGAGGTCATACAACAAACTGTACGACACTGCGAAACGGTAGTTTCTGAGAATAATACATGACCAGATTTTACTTTCGAAGGTTAGATATTTCGAGCAAGTGCTCCGAGGCCTTGTGCGCTTCAAGCGTAAGAACATAAGCAGTCCCCTTTCACTGTGGAGCAAGTAGGCAAAAGACTTTATGGAATCAGGACCGACATATATATTGATTGCAATAATGATAAAAACTGCAATGACCACCGTATCGAACGAGGGCTTACAGTAGCTGAAATCACAATGGAGGTCTGCTAGGGTTCGGGACTCCACTTCCATGAGCGATAAACGTCATTTGGTTAGATTACACACAAAGTCACCCTTGATTTCTATTTTAGGATCAACTCTTCCCATTGTGCTAAGGGATTCGGATGGATTATATTTCAACCTGGCACCAAGTCGATCTCTACTACCCACTGTGGTGGTTTCTCCTCGAAGTCAATTTTCTTGAGTAATCCGCTTACGAAAGCAAAGTTATCGGAAAATAAATGAAGCGCGTGCGATACAAAGAAAACAAGTTTTTCGATACGATGACTGAACTGATGATAGGAAGTTGGGAAAAAGTGTGGACGCAAACCTTCATGTGAAGTGTGTGAAATTGTGTTTTAGTGGTATATTATTGAGGACCTGGCGTACCCTCAAAATGTGTCGATTTTCGCACTTAGTTCAGATTGGCCTTATTAGTTTTTCGCAACCTTTTTAATATGCATCACATGGTGTTTTCATAACTCTATGTTTACAGAACGGAAACTGGTCACGAGTTTAAGGAACAGGTGCCTCGAATTTAAAATATGAATAGTTTGGGCGTAATGCACTACTCATAAGGTTGCTGACAGCCCACAACCGGTTTCGCCCTTCTTGGGGCTCATCAGGTAGGCGTAGTCCCCGAGTTTCCGTCAACCGTACGTTCCACTTGAAATCAAATTGCACGAAATTGGTGAATTGCACACATTTGGTTTTGCGGGAGACTCATCTGGAACAGTTTAAGTGGGTCAAGAAGGCCTCCATGGCCTGTCACATGCTATTGTAGGGTTAGTAAAAAACTGTATGGAGACATCTTGTCGTGTGTACACACCCCGTGTTTATGAACTAGAGACTACTAGCAATTTGCACCACAGAAACTGGTGATAATGGTGCGCTCCACCCCAGGTATCTATCCATTTGTCAAAGCCAGAGCACTGAAGCATGCAACGACGCTTTTTTCCGCTTTAAAGTCCACTATCCTCATTTAGCAAGGTCAGACAGTTGAGTTATGCAAGTGCGTTGCCGACATTTTAAATCGAACTCATGGAGATGGTGTATAAGACCAATCATGCCTGTTCGGACAGTAAACATTTCTTCGAGTTCTCGATCTCACCCTGCAGCACCATCATGTTGTCCCGAGTTGTCGATTACTATTCCACTTGTGTCGGAGCACTTGCTCACACGATCTGTTTGGCATTTCTGGCAAATGTCATTTATGCCAAGATCGTTTTACGGTGACCCCTGGCGGGACCGATACAGAACAGTCGCTTTGGAGGGGTAAATGTAGTAAGGGATCTCTTGACACTTCTTAGTGAAGCAAACCTTATTTCAGTACATTCATTCAGTTCATTTCTGAATTCTAGTACAGTAGCAATGTAAATGGTGGCATGGAGAGCGGACAGTTTGCCACAGCCGTCGCTACGAGAAACACGGGAACCTGTTCTGTCAGGTTACGAAGGAGTTTTCACTGCGCGAGGCTCCGTTTGTCCTCACCTTGATCCTTTCGCATACACACTTCCATGCTATCGTTCTGGTCACTATTGGTGACGGTACCGAAAAAGTTGAACATTTGGAGTTGAGGAGTAAAGAATACGCTGATACGCCGAGTGGCGTGCACAACATTGCGAGGGGGTATAGACTGTTTCGACTAGACTTTATATCTTGATCGTTCTCAATTTTTGTTGAAAGGCATATAAAATGCCTTTTCCCATGGATAGGCATCCTTGACGACACTAGTTCTAGAGATGTTTGTGGACAGGTTCATTTTTTTACCCCTGCATACCTTTCCATCACGTTTACCTCAACTTCTTCCCCCTTCCTGCTTGCGGTTTTCAGCCCACTCAGATGCTTTTCACTGTTACTGGAGTGTTCTACGAGGTACATCCACTTCACCCAACCGACCCCTACCGAACCTCTGCTGCATCCAACGCAAATGATGTCCGGAAAGTGCTCCGCTGTTTCTCTCGCACGATGATCCTGGTTGCCCCGGGTGGGCATGTCTTACAAGACGATTTACTCATTTCCTGTCCTAGTGAAGCCCTATGCAAGGTATGATTACTTCGATTGTGTGTCTCCAGTCGTTGTTAACCGTTTTTTTAACTGACTGTTAATGAGCTGAACGTTGTGTTGGTTTTTCGCCCGCGACAACGTTGAAGTTGCAGCGCGGACGCATGAGCTGAATGCTCTGTTGCTCTTGTTCGAACGGAGCTTGCTTTACAACCGCATTCTTCGTTTTCATCCTTTTTCCAGAAGTACATAAAAGGTATGGCCTCCAAGGCAACCACGCAACCGGCGAATCCTGCTCCACCGACCGACACAACGGTGCCATCGGTGTCTTCCTCCACCCCGGCCGATGCGAGTGCACAAGCTATACTCATAACGGAATTGAAACAACGCTCTGGTATGAACGAAGCGTTCTCACGCCAATGTCTCGAAGAATATCAGTGGAATTTTGAAGCTGCGTTCGGCGCTTTCGAAATGTTACGCAATGCTGGCAAACTACCCCCGGAAGCATTTGTATAATTTTCACCCATCCCACTCTGTCCACACACTCACCTCTCTTTTCGGTGGCCAAGTTGTCCAAGTTATTGGATGTTTGTTGGTGTATGTTGTGCAGTACTGGTTTCATTGCCGGTCTGGTCCCAATATTACTAAAAAATCAGGCCACACTGGGTAAAAAAATATGAGCAAAACGACTCAGTTCTTAACTCTGCAACTGCTTTTTGCAGTTTTTTTCAAACCCAGTTGCGACCATCACCTGAATGCCGTGTTGAACAGTGTTCACACAATTGGCATCAAATATCTTGGCCACACCAATCATTTGCGTGGGTGACTCGCCCCGCTCGGGCTACCAGTTTCGGTTTTTGAGCTAGTGCTGCGTGTGTTTGCCGAGTGTTGCCTCCAATACTTGTGCAATTTGGTTGCCATCCCCATGTACTTCTGTCACATTGTACCCTTTTCTCTTCATCTACATACCCTGTGTTCTCCCTGCAACTTCTTTATGTATTACGACACCACTCGCTACGTATAGACTATTAAGACATTGCTGTTATGGTTTGTGGATTGTTCGTCACCTGAAAAGATTGTACACTGACTCACGATGTTAATCCCTTTCTAAATAGGTTACTGCTCGCGAAAAGGTCACTTTTGTCACGATGGTTTGTTCTTACTGCAAGCGGCATCGATGCATCAAACAGGAGACAATGCAATTTGTTCTTCACAAGAGACTCAACTGAATCTCTCGTTTATGGTATTCTACAACCGAATGTGCTGCGCACAGGCCGCCTCATGATTCATAAACGAGAGATTCAGTTGAGTCTCTCGTGAAAACCAAATTGATGTGCAAAAGAGGGTATTTCTCGGAAACAGTGTAATTTGGGTTCAAGTAGAACATAAGGTTGATGGAAACTCGGGGACTGCGCCCACCTGATGAGCCGTAAGACGGGCGAAACCGGTCGTGGGCTGTCGAAGAGTTTTCAGCAACCTTGTGAGTAGTTTCCTTTATGAAAAAGGAGACAATGTACTTCATCGCCCCCCCGTATCACCATAGAGTTTTACCATCCCTACTCGGAGTAACTGTTCCCAAACTAGGCGGCTTAGTAAAACACTGTCATTAAGCTACTATCAGTCCGAAACTCAAGACACGTTATCGATCCCTGTAGCCAGCGACCAAGAGATGCATGATTATACCTCTTCTGTTTGCCGCTTCTCCACAGCATCCTTTCGTTTGTGATGGCAGGTGGTCGTTTTTCATCTTCAATGGAGCAACATGAGGATTGGCGAGTTTGTAGGGGTCAGTTCTAAGAACCGTACACCGCAATCATCAAAAACTGACCATCTCTGCTTACCTTTAACTTTAATTCGGTTAGTCATCGGACGCTAGCTAGTTTCCATCAGGCAAAGTTGTATATCTTGAGGCTCCTAATGGCTTCATACTTCAACTCCGTGGACGCGTGCCGGGTGTAGTACAGGCGTTCATCTGGATTCACCACACACGGGTCGGGTTAGGTCTTCTTGCCTCATCCCTTCCCCCTAACCTGAATATGCATATGATCAAAGGGATACCTCATCAACCCTTGGTCTCCGTGAGGTTAAAATGCTTCCCGGGGCGTTTCACATTCACGTTCGCAAACTCCGCGGATCACTTTAATAACCAAATGACCTTTACAGATCACGGTTTGGTGTGTGCTCCACGCTTACGAAACTGGGATAATAATACAAGACTAGGATCAAATCCGAACATAGAACGCACAAAAGACCCTTTTGAGTTGTGAAAAACGTTTTCTTGCCTGGGTAACTGCTTCATTTCTAATACTAGAGCCGCTTTTGCCAGCCCAAACACGTGTTTGACAAATGTGACGTCAGCTTGTCCGCCAGGCGGAGAGCCATTACTCTGACACTTTCAACACAAGCAAACGCAAAGGAAGAGTGCCCATCAAAACGTTGTCTGGGTCTGTTGGATGGAGCGAAGCCATATGTCGAATTGTTTCCGAAAGGAAAGGCTCACAAGAGATCGATAGGCAGTTGGTACTTCAAAGGTTGCACAGACATGTTCATGTGCCAGTGCATAAAGTCTTCAGCGCAACATAATCGTCAGATCATGATTCAGAAGAGAGATACAGAAGCTGTACCCTTCTTGCTTTGGTAGTTATCCCCAGAAGAGACAGTAGTCATGGGAGTTGTTAACTTTGGTGCACCTATCCCCCAGATCTCTCCAACGATAAAGTACCCACCATCGCCGAAAGGTTCACCGTACGAAAATACCAGCTAATAACAACTTGAATGTGTACCTATCCGCTCCCGTGTCGCACGTAATTGATGAACAAGAACAGCACCTGGATGTCCACACAGTATGCACTTGGTAGTGCTCAAATACGGTCAGATATTCGAAGAGCTATCCGTGACTCTTAACGTACCAGGGATGTGTATATTGTTCGGTATAGGATTTTTCTATCTGTTGGGATGCATATGCTATACCCACATTACCAAGTGACAGAATCATCAGTCGGGAGCAGGTTCCTCAGGACAACCTTCTAAATTAAGTTACTGAATTCAATTCCTCCACAAATGTGTTGCAAACTTTTCTTGGGCTTCGGATTATTCCTGTCACTGGTAGCTCTTGATTCGCTCATTCCCCTCCCCCATGTGGCTCGTCCCTCCTCTTAGTTTTCTAGGGACTCACAAGTTTCAAGGAGGGCTGGTGATGGGCGACCTTGATTCAGCGGAAATGAGCTGACTTCAGGTCTGATTAGAGCAAACAACAATCCAACTCATTGTGTTTGACACGGACTGATACTTGACTTATGTATTCTTCCTGACTCAGTGCTGCCAACGCATCGAGTACATTCAAGTGATCGTTTCGGTCTCTCAGTGTGTCTCCCATGACACATGCATGGATCCCCTGCACCTGAACCGTAGCCAAACCGCCCGGTTGAGATCAGCGATTTTCTGAGGCAGAATAATTAAAATATGGCGGGTAGATTATCATCCTGACACGTAGGTGGACACACATTTTACAGTCTCCTCTCATCCTTGAACGTCAAGCGCAATCATCATAAGAAATACTATTCTAGTGCATTTGGCCGTCTTCCATTCTCTGGATGTTGTTTACTTCGAGGAAGCCAGGATCAGGTACGATTATAGAAGCTTCATTTTCCAACTACTCTGAGGTTGTACAGCGAAGGAAAATAGAACCATATTTTTGTAATGAACTACTCATAAGGTTGATGAAAATCCGTCGACAGCCCACGACCGGTTTCACCCTTTTTTTT